GACGGTCGCCGTGTCCTGGGGTCGTGTGATCCCCTTTTGCGACCTTCCGACAAGCAATAAGGAAGCCAGATTCACTTAACGCCTTCAGCGACTCACTTGATGACCACAGCAAGTAAGGTCGTAGAACGATCCCCTTTTTGCGACCTTCCGACAAGCAACGGGGAGGCCAGCTTCACTTCCCCAACTGTGTTACTTACTTTAAGGCCTGCAGCGATTCTCTTAACGACCGTGGCAAGAGAGGGTCATAAAACAGGGCAAAATTCCCTTAAGCAGTTTCTCGCTGAGCGTCACAAACGTTTGTCTCCATTTTGGTCGTAAGCCGAGGACTAGCTACAGCGAACACACCCAGAAGGACGTAGACCTGAAGATGTCCTGGCAACAGAGCCCTGTTTTTTTTTGGGGGGGGGACAACAGCCCCCCTCCCCAATTTCCCACAAGTAGAGTTACAGACCCCATCGGTGGGAAGAAATAAGCGCCCTTATTTCCGTATAGATTCAAGTTGTTACGGCTATAATCGTAATGAAAGCGATAAACAGCCTGGGATTAGCGGCGAGATTTATACGGACATGGCCCGCAACATGGAGGGGACTCCTTCTCTGCACCCCCCCTTCCGCCCCGTGCATAACGGCGCATCCATGCTCAGGGCAATCAACACGGCTATGAGCACCGGCACTTAATAAATTTGGAGGCTTTAAGCCGGATGGGGCCGCCGTTTACGGCTGCATATAAATCAGGCCTTGCCCGCGCAGGAGGCTGGCTCACGCGGCAGAGTCCTCGTAAATCCAGAGGCTGCCATGTGGCTGCTAAACTCCCCATTTACCCAGAGACCCCAGACCCATCGCTCTCTCTCTCTCTCGCTCCTGCCATCGCCTTAATTCGACAGGCGGAGGAGGAGGAGGAGGAGGGCCAGAGGAAGGCCTGGATGGCTCCCACCGACTCCTCCTCGTTGCTCCTGCTGGGTTCTGTGGAGGGGCAGCTGGGCCATACCCTGGTTTAGGGGTTATTCAGGGTCTGGGGGCTTCCTAGCCGAAGGAAGGACGGGTGGGAAAGGCACCGGGATTGTGAGTAAAGGCAAAGCTGAACAGGAAGAAAGAAGGAGAAAGGGGAAGAAAGGGAGGAAGATGGGATGATGGGGAGGGAGGGAGGAAGAGAAGGAAGGAAGGAGGAAGAGAGGGCAGGAGGGAAGGGAGGAAGGAAAATAGGATGGAAAGGGAGGGAGGGAAGGAAGGAGGAATAGAAGGAGGGAGGGAAGGGAGGAAGGAAAATAGGATGGAAAGGGGGAAGAGAAGGAAGGAAGGAGGAAGAGAAGGAAGGAGGGAAGGGAGGAAGGAAAATAGGATGGAGAGGGAGGGAAGGAAGAAGAGAAGAAAAAGGAGAAGGAAAGAGGTCAGCGGGTTAGAGAGGAAAGAGAAAGAGAGAGAGGAGAGGGAGGGAGGTGGGATAGGAGAAGGAAGGAAGGGAGAGAGGAAGGAAGGAAGAAGAAAGGGAGGGAGGGATAGGGGAGGAAGGGAAGGAAGGAAGAGAAAAGGAAAAGAGGAGGAAAGGAATGGTCGGAGGAAGGAAGATGGGAGGAAGGAAGGGAAATAAGAGGGAGGGGGAAAAAAGAACAGAAATGGAAAGAAGGGAAATGTGAAAAGGAAAAAGGACCAGGAAGGAAGGGAATGAAAGGAAAAAAGTGAAAGAAGGAAGATAAAAAATGGGAAAGTGAAAAGGGAGGGAGAAGAAAGGAAGAGATGGGGATGGAGAGAAGGAAGGAAGGAGAGAAAAAAGAAGGAGAGGAAAGGTCAGAGGAAGAAAGGGGTGGAAGGAAGGGAAATAAGGAGGAAAGAAGGGAAATGGAAGGACGGGAAAGAAAGAGGAAAAGTTGAAGAAAGACAAAGAAAAAGTGAAAAGAGGGAGGGAGGGAGGAGAGAAAGGAAAGGAATGGAAGGTTTGGAGGAAGGAAGATGGGAGGAAGGAAGGGAACTAAGGGAGGAAAGAAGGGAAATGGAAGGAAGGGAAACATGAAAGGGGGAAAGAGGAAAAGGAAGGAAAGGAAGGAAAAAAGGCAAAAAATGAAAAAGTGAAAAGAGGAGGGAGGGAGGAAGGAGAGAAAGGAAAAAAGAGAAGGAAAGGAAAGGTCAAAGGAAGAAAGATGGGAGGAAGGAAAAGGATAAAGGGACAAGGAAGAAAGGGAAAGAAAAGGAAAAAAAGGAAGACAAAAAATAGAAAAAGAAAAGAGAAGGAGGGAGAGAAGGAAGAAAGAAAGAAAAAGAAAGAAAGAAAGAGAGCAAGGCCTGGTTATTTCTCTGATAGAAGAGAATCTCTGCAGCCTCTGAAGGTTGAATGGTGGAGTCCTCGGTTGTTTTGTTTACACACTTTTCATTATCCAACTGAGGAATCTCACCAGTGCTGATGAGCGTGGAGTTTGCCCCCTCTTTATATCCAGTAGATCCTTGTCCTGCTAGTGTTTGGTGGGGCTGTGGTTTCCTCCTCCGTGGCACTTCCTTGATTAGGCTATTGTTTTCTGCTCGATTGTTTGTCTGGTGTTAATCCCTGCTTATCTGGATTGAAGTGGAGAGGATGCATTCTTGTCCTTGGTTTTTTTTTTATTGTCTCTTTTGAATGGTGTGTAAATGCGGTTCCTCTCTATGTGCCTATAGACCACCTATCTCCTGTGGTATCTGCCAGGGTTGGCATGCTTTGGGGTTGTTCCCCCCCCCATTTAAACAGTGTCATTTTCGGGGGGACGCAACCAATGTGTTTTCTCCCCTCTGGAATGAGGGTGTCCCTGAGATCCATGGGGCTCCCACCCCAATGTCGGTCTGCAAAGCTGACTGGGTCGGGGGGGGGGGAGACTGTTGGGTGTTTGGTGTGTGTGGTTTGTGTGTTAACCAGGTTCGCCATCTGTTTACTGTTCGGTGGATCGTTATTTTTATATTGCTTGTTTTGTGCGTGAGCTGTCTGAAGTCAGGGAAATGACTCCAGATTGAGAAATCAATCCGTCCATCAGTCAATACTATCATGTCTCCCCTAGTCTTTTCTTTTCATTAGATCAGACACATCCAGTTCCTGCAAATGGAAATGGAATAGAATAGCATAGAAATATAGAATAGAATAGAAATATAGAATAGAATAGAATAGAATAGAATAGAATAGAATTATAGAACAGAATAGAATAGAAATCTAGAATAGAATAGAATAGAAATCTAGAACAGAACAGAATAGAATAGAAATAGAGAATACAGAATAGAATAGAATAGAATAGAATAGAATAGAAAAAGAAGAGAATAAAAGAGAAGAGAAAAAAGAATAGAATAGAATAAAAGAATAGAATAGAATAAAAGAATA